CTGTCTTGTGCATACTTTGAGGTATCTTCGTAATAACCTTATATTATATGATGCGTCACTGATGCATAATGATTTTCTGTGATGCAACTAGTGCTAATTCACTGGGATGTCATTGATGCAACAGAAATTTGTACATTGATATAGTGATCTTGAAAAACATCTTAGTTTTGTAATTTGGTGAAATGAAATTCACATTTTATAAACAAAGTAGGCGTACAATGGATGGTAATCATGCCAAATCAAATTTCATCATCAAATTTGTTTGTGCCTATATGATCACATAGGCTTAGTCTTTTTCACGAAACTAAACGTTAACCCTAACTCGCATTTTTTTCATTGGCCTAATAATATCTGAGAAAATTTCACACTGTGAAACACAAAATGGATAGCGCCATCAGTGTTCAACAATTTCAAAATGGCTGTCACGTCATGTCAGCACAAATCAATCGAGCTACAAAGTAGGCGAAAAAGAGGTGGAAATTAAATATTCTCGACAAATTTATTTTTGTGACGTGGCGATGTTTGAAGTCGTTCAAAATTTTGGTTTAATATCATTTCGTTTTTTTTCACGTTTCGTTTCATGAAAAAGACTAAGCCAATCACATACATACATCCCAGCAATCAACAAGCTGACTCAACTTGATTTTTGGAGATTCCATTTTAACTAAGAATGACAATAAAATTAGTCCTGTTATGACCGAGTAGTAAATCAAATTAACTGACAATATACCTGTGTAGTTTTACCACATCCAGTCTCACCACTAATGACCACGACTTGACTGGACTCGATCAGATCAAGTAAATCCTACAATGAATTGGACATGGAACTGTATGCATAAAAGCAGAGAGTACATATATAGCACAGATAACAGGTATCTGATAATAGTAGAAATATCACACACACACACACACACACACACACACACACACACACACACACACACAATGTTAATGACAAAGCCACTTGTATTTTGTCCAACACTTTGAGGTATGTAAATGAGTCTCTAGGTGGTTCAGCGTGGTAACTTGAGTTGTTTAGCACCACACTTACTTTTGAAAGTGAGTGTACGTTCAACTCGTATCTTCATAAAAACTGAGACACTCAGTTACCACGCTCAACTACCACCTAGAGACCTATTAACATACATGACACTTTATCTGAGTTTGAAAGATCATGCATTATAAATAGATGCCCAAGTGCAGCTTTAATCGCCAAGACAACACTTAGGAGCAATATACATGTACCAGTGCGGTAGTAATAGTTAGACCAAATAACATAGTGTGTCTCTGGTAACATTGAAAAACAAAAATAGGGTATGTACAGCTTTTCATTTTCTTATAATGCAATGGTTGCCACTAATCAACCAATGGCTGCTCGAGCCCCCGATTTAAATGCCTTGCAAGAACCAATGAAATTTTTTAAATATTTTTTTTCTCAGGTGCTCCCTGTTTGAGAGCGTGATCACCTGGGTCAAAGGTGAGACCAACATGTGGTCCTTTGTTTACTACTTAGCGGCTGTGTACCTGTGGGTTTATTCTGTGTGTATTTGGATGTTCTAATCTTGGTGTTTTTCCAGTGATTTCTCTAGGTGCAATCTAAATACAGTAGGCGTGTCTTGTTTACCTGAGATTTGCAAGAGTTTGAGCTGGCCAACTTGTTAGTTTTTTTCATGTGGTTGATTACTGTCATGTTGATTTCCCATTTTGAGCCATGTTTTCAACTTGTTTATCATTTTCATATAGCAATCTCGTCATATGTTAACATTGTTGTCTATGGAGTTTAAATTAGTGGTATGAGCCCTGCAAGCATGTGGGAAGAATTAGTCATGCATATTTAGCTAGAAACAGGAAGTGAGCACCCTCTAGTGGCAACTTTAGATATAGAGTGGCTTAGTCTTTTCCACGAAACGAAACAAAACAAAACGAAACGAAACCCAAACCCTAACCCTAACCCTAACTCGCATTTTTTTTTTCATTAACCCAATAATGTCGGAGAAAATTTTACACTGTGAAATACGGACGTGACGATGTTTGAGGTCGTTCAAAATCTAAGGTTAGGGTTAGGGTTTCGTTTCGTTTTATTTTGTTTCATTTCGTTTCGTGGACAAGACTAAGCCATATAGAGTTGGTATGTAAATTCTAGGTAAGGTCAGGTAACAGAAAAAGACACTATTTTTCTTTTATTTGGTCTATTTTATTGGATATACATTCATGCAAGTCACATTTCCTGATATTGACGTCATTGCTGTTTCTCTTGACGTTTTTTGTTTTGTTTTTGTTACATTTTTGGAAAGCAGGGCAGACTACTCTGATTTATTCAGCTCTGGGAATCGAACCCCAACCTTCCTTATGAGAGGCAAACACACTGTATCACCACCAATGTACTTATATTTACTTCATTATGAATTTGGGAAATCAATCATGCAATCAATTTTATTCTGTGAAATTTTTAATAATTAATTACTGACTCTGAAGTATTGGGAAAGTTATAAAATTCAAATTTATGTATTTTCAAAATCATTTTTAAAAAGATGGCATCATCTTACTAAGACTTGTAACATATTTTCTAAAAAAAGTACCTGTTTCTTTTTGAATGCTGGTAACTTTTCCCGAAACTGCATCATTTTCTTATATCGTTGATTACGTAGTTTCTTTTCAGCCAATGCATCTTTCAAATCTTCATCAACTCTATCATTTTTTTCCAAGGATCGACCATAATAACTAAAGGTGATATCATCTTCAGCTGGTGGAATAATAGACATGGATTTCTGTGGTCTTGTCTTTCTATCCTTTTCAGTCTGTACATCATGTAGTAGTTTTTCAATATGTTCTACTCTATGCATGTCCATTTGTACAGTTGGTCTCTTTGGGAAACATAAAAGAATGTGATCAATTACATGTATACTGTATGTATTTATACGTTATTTCACAAGTCAGGGGAAATCACAAAGTATGTAGACTGAAACAAACAATGTTTTGTTTTACTGCCATGTTGCCCTGACACCACCATAGTCAGTATCTGGACTGACACAATGTATTGTTTTACTGCCATGTTGCCCTGACACCACTATAGTCAGTATCTGGACTGACACAATGTATTGTTTTACTGCCATGTTGCCCCGACACCACCATAGTCAGTATCTGGACTGACACAGTGCTTTGTTTCACTGTCATGTTGCCCTGACACCACCATAGTCAATATCTGGACTGACACACTGCCATGTTGCCCTGACACCACCATAGTCAGTATCTGGACTGCCATAGTGCTTTGTTTCACTGTCATGTTGCCCCGACACCACCATAGTCAGTATCTGGACTACCACAGTGCTTTGTTTTACTGCCATGTTGCCCTGACATCACCATAGTCAGTATCTGGACTGAAATAGTGCTTTGTTTTACTGCTATGTTGCTCTGACACCACCATAGTCAGTATCTGGACTGACACAGTGCTTTGTTTTACTGCCATGTTGCCCTGACACCACCATAGTCAATATCTGGACTGACACACTGCCATGTTGCCCTGACACCACCATAGACAGTATCTGGACTGACAGTGTTTTGTTTTACTGCCATGTTGCCCTGACACCACCATAGTCAGTATCTAGACTGACACAGTGCTTTGTTTTACTGCCATGTTGCCCTGACACCACCATAGTCAGTATCTGGACTGACACAATGTATTGTTTTACTGCCATGTTGCCCTGACACCACTATAGTCAGTATCTGGACTGACACAATGTATTGTTTTACTGCCATGTTGCCTCGACACCACCATAGTCAGTATCTAGACTGACACAA